GAAGGGAGGGCAGAGGTAAGGGGAAAAAATGAGAATCAAGACTTGCCATGTAAAGGTACATGATCCCAACAATGAATGTAACTGTACTGTATCCCTAAAATGTACCAATAAACTCAATAAAATTAAAAAAAAAAAGTTCAAGTGTTTCCTAGGCAAATTGGTGAGATCTTGTCTCAAAATAAAAAAGGAAATAAGGGACAAGAAAAAATATGAGAAAAGGAAGAAATGGAAACAGTGTTTGTAAATAGGGGAGGGTGGAGGGGTTGAAGGGAGGGCAAGGATAAGGGGAAAAAATGAGAACCATGTAAGGATCTGTCATGTAAAGGTGCAAGATCCCAATGATGAATGTAACAGTACTGTATACTTAAAAAAGTACTAATAAACTCCATTAAGATTAAAAATAAATAAATAAAATTAAGAAATGAAAGGGGCCTGGGGCTATAGTTCAGTAGTAGAGCACTCCTGAAAAATCAACAAATAAGCAAGCAAATAAACAACACCCCCCCCCACAGTACTGTACTTGGACTTGTGTACTTACAAATGAGATGGTTTATCCACTTTTATCACACTTGACAAAGTCAGCAGTTTGAACCAAATAGTCACTATTCAATCTGTGGTAGCTCATTTGTTTTGTCCCACCTAAGGGGACTCTTTGAGGGCAGCAATGGACACAAGTTATTCACGAAAGGACTTACAAAGCTGGGTTCACAGTTGGAACTCTATAAAGATTTATTGAATGAGTAACATTTTATTAGGTTATATGGGACTCAACCTCTATTGCATATTATGTTTCCACATGTTCCTTTCCCACCCAGTAAAATGTTGAATATGTGATAGTCTCAGAGTATCATTCGAAAATACGATGCCTTAGAATGATGAGGAAGGTGCAGTCATCCATGATTTTTCCCTAGAGGATCCTGGCCAGGACAGGGGTCTGTTGTATGTGTCCGTGGGGTGTATAGGTGCATTTCTGAACACGGTTGCATAAAGGCTGAATTTGTGTCTGGAATTTTTTTAGCTCTGTAGATCACAGAGCCCTCAACTCAGGTTTTCTACCTGCAAAATGGGCATGAACATATTTCCCTGTTTCACTAAAGAGTTGTAGAAACCTTGAATGACAAATGACACTTGACTGTACTGTATATAGTTTAGGAAATTAAAGACTGAAAATTAATTAATATTTGAGGCAGCCGTGCTAAAATGCAAAACTTCGTGCTCCTCATAAAAAAGCACACTCTGTGTCTAGTCAATATGTAGAACATAAACTCATATTTTGAAACCCATGTTTCTCTCTTTTAAAAATACTACTGCATTTTCTCAAAACTTTTAAGGAATTCTGAGCCTTCATTGGGGCCAGGTTTTCTTGCACTGGGAGTCTTCAGGCAATGACCAGTTGGATTCCAGATGTTACAGTTTACTTTATTATTGTGTTCTTTGGGTTCAAAGTCAATGCTATTGTTTGACAATGGGCAAAATTTTCAATAACCCAACATCTGGACATTTTCAATTTTTCCTCTCCATTTTGAAATTTGTTTTTGTATGTGAAAGGATTTAGTCTCACAATGATGTTTACTCCCACTAAGCACATGTTGCAACAGCGTACTGCCTTGTGCCCATAGCACACTCAAGATTTCTTGTAGAAGATTCACGATTACATGAAAACAAAATTGGAACTTTCTAATTTGGATTTCAATGGCAACAAAGACAGAATAGGAGAGATGACTGGGGTTGAGGACCCTAAGTCCAGGTTCAAGAGTGACAGTATCCTGCTGGTCTCTTTGTAGCTGTGGCCTGGCTTAGCCACATGGTCCCTCTGGCTAGGCACATGCAGCCTGCTTTAGGGGACTAGCTTGAGCTCACAGAGTCCTGACCAGAAGAAAATGCTCTTAACTTTACAGTGAGTACAAGCTGTCTTGCTCTGTTTACTTGTTTTGATATCAACATTTTTTTTCCTTTTGGAAAAATATCTCATTGGGATAGGGAATCTGAAGCTGATTGCGGCAGGGCCCACAAAATACATTTTGGTACAGGTTCCAACCCTGAGTGTAAATCCATACACGGGACTGTTGCAGAGGAGGGCTGGATTCTGTTTAGAATCTGGCTGTACTATTTTCCAAATACCCTGCACTACTGGGAGTTTTGTTTGTTTGTTTGTTTGTTTGTTTTTGTACCAGGGATAGAATTTAGGACCTTGTGCTTGAGAGGTAGGTGGCAGTACCACTGAGCTAAATCTCTGGCCCTACTGGGATTATTTTTAATTATGTTTCCTTGTAAAGATTTCATGTTTCATGTAGTTATTAGTTCTATAAAGATTTGAATGGTTGAACAATCTTTAAACATCCAAAGTTGATATTTTAGGCAAACCAAAAGTTGAACAATTTTTTTTTCAAAAGTATTCTCCCTCAATTTTGACAATATATCTACTGTTAGGAGAAAAAGAATGTCAAATTCTAGCACATATATAGCTATCTATGCATCTTATCAATCAATTTTGTGAAAGCTCTATTGATTGTCTAATTTCCCATTGCTATCAAATTTAATTAAAAAATTCTTTCCAACTTTCTTAACAAGGTAGGATCTAAACTAGGGATGCTGGTGATAGTAGTAGGATTTTTACAGCTACACATATTGGTGCTTATTTTTACCAAGTTGTCCCATTATAAGTAGGTTCAAAAGATAAAATTATTTTATTTATGAGCTAAGGAATTTCTTCTTTAGTGGATCTTTAAAATTAACTGTATTTAGAGAAAGATTATGGGTTGGTAATAAATTTGGTTAGGTGACATTATGAGTGCCCAAACACCAGCACACTGTTCAAGCCCTGGTGGCAGACAGAAATGTGGATGCCACGCCAAAGAGTATGAAGCACTACCTCTAGGGCACAATGAGATTATGTGATCAGGATCCAATTCACCCCAGCTCCTGGCTTGATCAATCCAAGTTTCCCAGTCTTCTTGCCATACACTTTCATCAGAACCACCTACCAGGTCCAACACAGTGTAACTGTGCTCATTTCCAGCATCCGTGGCAGCAATAGACCCAGTGGACAGATTTGTGATCAACCAAGGAAAACCTACGCCACTGGGTGGAAGCAGATAGGCTCACAAAAGGTCTATTTCAGATTAAAGGCATCCTTTCTCTACTCTCTGCCAGGGAAGTGCCTCTTCCTGAGTACAACACTTTCCCCAATCTCACCCCAGGGGCCACAGCTCCAGAGAGTGGCAGATGCCACAAAGACCCAGGTCAGGAGACTGGGGCCCTATGGGAAGTACAGAGTCCAAAATTCTTCTCTCCAGGGACTGTGGGCTCCTTGCCTGTCACAAAGACATTTTCTCAGTAAATACAAATGGGAATGGAGCTGAGCCCCTTCCCATCCAGGGTCCCTGTAAGGAGGTTCCCTCCGGAATGCAGACTGGAAAGCCCAGGTGGGCTGGATCTAGGGTTGGAGCACCTTCCCCATTTGAATGGATGGAGGGTACACAGAAGGCCACCTTCGGAGTTGTCTCTCAGCTCAGCTCCCTGCCGTGCTGTCAGCTGCGCTCTTTCTGCAGCGCTAATGGCTGTGGCACCTACAAGCGCGGGGCTGTCACCAGGCAGAATCCGGGGGCCTGAGCTCAGCATCTCTCGGTCCAGCACCCTGAGCAGCCTCTTTCAAACTTCAGTCCCTTCCAGGCTGTAGACAAAGTGACTGACCCGAAAGCTGGTGGCTGCCGCCTGATGGCCAGGGGTGAAGCCTGGCGCAGAGCCCGGGGTCTGAGGGCTGCGGGCGGGGACCGTCGTTGGCCTTCCAAAAGAAAAGTCGCGCGCCAGGCTCCTGGGGAAGGTGTCAAAGCCCCCGGCCAGGGCTCCCATGGAGGAAGAAAAGCTGGAGAAGCAGGCGGCAGCCTCGGGCACGGGCGGGGACGGCGAGGCCTGCAGGTCTGGGGAGGTCGCTCCGGGGGGCTCCAACGCCAGCGTCTTCCCTCCGCCTGGGCTGCGGGCTCCTGCAGGCAAGGCCACACTTGCCTCCCCTCTTCGCTTCCTCTTCCTTCGGAAGTTCCCGTTGTCAAACATCTTCTCGCAGTTGGGGTCCAGTGTCCAGTAATTGCCTTTACCTGCAGCGAAAGAGCCCCGATCAGAGAGCGCGGTATTGACAGACCCAACCCGCCCCTCCGGAGGGTCAAGAGCTCTCATCCCCATCCCAGATCTTGAGGTGTCCCTTTGTCCCAGGTATGGGCCTTCGAAACAAATTGGAAGAACTGGGACCTTCCAGAAGGACCAAGACAGGGACTCCTGCGTAGCCCCGCTAAGTTCGAGGCCCTGGAGAAAAGGCCCTAGAGATACCGAACTGGATTCTGCCAGTGGAGCGGAGCGGACCACACGTCACTTCTGAAGGCGCTGGCTTTGCCCAATGCCTCAGTGTGGGCACTGGCTTCCCACTTTACAGGGAAGTGCATCGAGGCTCAGAGATGTTATCTGCCAAGGTTACCCAGCTGGCGGGCTGTCCAGCTTCTCCCTCCAAAGGAAAGCACAGAAATTTAGAGCCCCTAGGAGCCTTGGGCAGGAAATCAGGGTCCGCGGTTCCGCGGGGTCTGAGCCTCTGCTCCCCACCTCCCCGCTGACGGAGCTCCGCCTGAGCAGTAAGACACTGTGTTGGTCAGGATCGTTCGCATCCTAACCTGCCCGCGGTGGGCAGCCATGGAGTCCTGGACGGGCCAGAGGGCCTGCGGCAGTTACCTGGGTCGTTCTCGTCGCGGGGCACCTTCTTGAAGCAGTCGTTGAGAGACAGGTTGTGGCGGATGGAGTTCTGCCAGCCCGCCTTGCTGCGCTTGTAGAAAGGGAAGTTGCCGGCCACGTACTGATAGATCTGGCTGAGGGTCAGCTTTCGCAGTGGGGCGCTCTGGATGGCCATGGCAATGAGCGCGGAGTAAGAGTAGGGAGGTCGCACCAGCCTCAGCAACTCCTGCTGGCCGGAGAGGGTCAG